TCTGTACTCAGATTAGTGCTTTCTTACTACACTAGATGGCCTTCCCAGGTGTGTACTTATCATCGGGTGATGGACATGATGGAAGAAGACTGGAAGGAAACAGAGGCATCCCCAAACTGGACCTGTCATTCCATGCTGACTCTGAAGCGTTCAAATCCCTCGGGCCCACAGAATCTGGTGATGATGTGTGTAATGCAGCTCCACTTCATACTGCTCAAGTCCATTGTCTTGCAATGAAAAATACATGAATTTTATTTGTGTTTCTCCCAATAACACTAGGATACATGGACAATTTCCACATTTGCATTTTGTTTTCTGTTCATATTGAAATAAGGCAATGAGTCTCGAATCAGCAGGAAATAAGCTCTCTCCTTGAAAGTAGATTCCTACGGCACTATTTAAAGAATCTGCAGCGCAAGCTTCAAGTTAATAGCTTCTAGTTCTGCTTGCCTAATGACCCCTAGGCCCCCTTAAATTCATTATGAGCCCTGTCTGCACCCTTGTGTTACTGTGCTTTACTTCTTAAAATTCAGTAATGGTGTTTTGGATTCAAGTGTGATTTCATAGGTAACTTAATGGAACACTCGTAGAAACGTTCTTTGTCAACAAGGTCAGTATTCTTCCCATTATGATCTATATTACCTCTCACGTTCCTCTGAATTTTATTTTGTCTTCATAAACTATACAAAGGAGCTGCCTTTTTAAGTCCTTGAGTTAATCATGATGAAGAAACTACATCAAGAATACCAGTAATTAGTTTTATATTAAATCTAGGTTGTGCTCCTCAAGCATGTCAGAGACAATGCAGAGAATCATTCCTCGGAGAAATGAAAAAGCAGGCTGACTTGGATACTTTAGTATTAGATCCGAATGACATCATTGGCTATTTAGTGTCTTGCATATTGATTTAGAGAAAGGCTCTCCACAAGATGGATATACACAGCGGCTGAAACAATGGGTCCAAACATAAGAACAATTATGAGGATGGAATAGGACCGGCTAGTGTTTCGTTCTGTTATGCTTAGGCTTGCTATAAAGAACTAACAACAGCAACACAGAACCTACCAACAACAACATAGTCACTTAATCTAGCATCTTCAATGTATGCTTTTTCGTTTGTTTTTTAGAAATGATATCCCAATTTTATCATTTGCTGTAGAATGTCAATAACGGTAGACAGGGACTCCCCCTTGCCAATGTATACATATAATACTGAAAAGAGCATCCCCATTCAGTCTCTAGAGACTCACTTACCCCCATAAACTCGTAACCTCAAGTAATTGATGCATGTCTGTATTTCTCTTTTGCTGTTTTTAATGCATCACATTTAGAGTGGATATTTGATGTGTTTGAGCTGTGTGATCCAGTGCCAGAGGAAAAGAAATTAGTTACATTTTAATCCTTACACCAATGGCAATCTCTTTCCCGAGCCAAGTATGCCCTCATTGTGAGACACAGGTGCACAGTTTGCACATCACTCGGTCTTGGCTTCTACAGAAAGGCACTCAGTGAACTGCAGCCCAAGAAAGGAGTGCAATTCTTCCATAAGCCATTTATTAATCCAACAAGCTCAGTAATGACTCATTTTCCTTCAAATACACAGCACAGCCGTTTTGTTCGCTCAGCAGTATTATTCCCTGAGCACGTGTGTCTTTTCAATGTTCTCTTACTTTACTGTTAACAGAGGGCTTACCCTTAATTGGGTGCTTGTACACCTCAGCGACTTCAAAAAAGGGTGTTTCTGAGCCCGCAGCTCTGTGCAGAGAGCCAAGTGACATGCACATGACAATATCATCAGGGATTTGAGCACTCAGCTCCCCACAACCAGCACCCAATTAGCTCATATTCTTCTGCTAAATGTACGCAACAGCAAAGGCTGCCATTCTCAGCGCTTTGATGCCAGAAACCTTGGAAATAGTGTGTGCTCTTGGAATGTGATAGTATCAGAATTAAAAATAAATAAGCAGAAAAACGCAGTCACAGTTGGTCAGTCAACAGTAAACATTGACAAAAAAGTCACTAACGGTGATATCAAATCTGTTCCCCATTTGTGTTTGAATACTTGAGCTCATTAGCCAGTTTTTGTCTCAACACTTCCCTTTATCAATAAAAAGGAGCATTAGCAAAGAAATAATACATCAAGCACATCAGTCCATTACTCGTATCATTACCATGTATTTCCTCAGTGCTGAGCACTAGCAAGGAAAACCTCGCACTGCCGCCATACATCTGAATGCTTCCTATGCAAGTCAGTTGATACCACTCCCCCTTTCCTCGCTCATAGCACGCATAAGCTCTCAGATCACCTTCAAAATACGGGGCCTCCTTTCCCTGGAGTAGAGTTTCTGTCAGATCAAATGACTAGAAAAGCGAGAAGAGGCCTAAAATGATTGCTCAGCAGGAAAAGTGCAGCACCGGCGTCCTCTTCCGTGTCTCCACGGACAGCAGGGTCACAGGAGTTATTGGGAGTCTAAGTCGCTCTTACAGTGCAGCAGACACTCGTGGGTGTGATTTTGACACAAGCTGGTGTTGGTGTGACAGCTGCGTGAGCTAGACTCAGAGCATCAGTGAGTGAGCTCCCCGGAGGAAGCCTTCACCCTATGACTCAGGGCAAGTGAGACTTCTCCTGAGGTCTTTAAATAGTATTGGCTCTAACCAGCCATGGGGAGGGTGCCTGTGTGTGCTTGGCAGGGAGGTGAAGGTCTCCAGTTGCTGGAGGAGGGGACTTTAGAGGAGACTCCTCTGTAACTGCCTCCGAGTGACATGGGTCAGATCTGTCTTCCAGGGGTTAGCAAAAGAGCCCATGCACAAATGTGCTAATGGAACTATGGGAGCTGTGATAACAGCAGGAACTGGCTGCACTCTTTCATGGATGGGAAATTTTGCTTTGGGGTCTGTTGGGAAGATCACTGACTCACATGAATAAGTCATGTGAATCTTTTTTGAGCAGTTTTTCCAAAAAATAAAACAGCAACTTGACACCCAATTGCTTCTGCTCAGAACCAGAGACTAAATTATGACCATTGCCTCAGCACGTTGCTACTTTTTCCCATGTGGGGCAAGAATTAGATGGCTGTATATGGGATCCACGCGGTCAGGGGTTCAATACCACCAGCTGCTGTGTGGGAGAAAGACTGGGCTTTCTACTCCCGTTAACAGTTAGAGTCTCAGAAACCCACAGGGGGCTGCTAGGAGTTAGCATTGGCTCAATGGCAGTGAGTTTGGTGAAAATGAACAAAAGGTCTGACGAATTAATGCATAGTTTATTCTTTGGTTGCTGCTCATTGGTCTCTGAGCCTTTGAGGCTCTGTCTACACTGTGCAGAACGTCCTTCCCTCAGTTCGTTGCTTACACCTCTCTTTGGCAGTAACCAGGCTTTTCCTGCATGCTAGCAGAAAACGTGGCTGCATTCTCAGCTCCTTAATTCACTGCTCCTTCCTTGGTCTCAGCCCCGCGTGCAGCCTAGACAAGGGACTAACACATAGAGGTAATGAAATGATCATAAAGAGGTAAGGCAAGTCTTCACAACAACCCCCCAAACCTAAACTCTGATATCGTTCACTATATTCTGTGGACAAATGTGCCAAGAAGTCACAGTAATTGGCTCGGCTCTTTGTAAGTCGAAAGGTACTGTATTTCCTTCAAGGAGCCATGGTATTGCAGTGGGTTAAGCCTTGGGCTGTTAACCAGAAATTGGCAGTTTGGGCCCACCAGTTGCTCCGTGGAAGAAAGATGAAGTTATCTGGTTCCCTGAAAACTTACAGTCTCAGAAAACTTAAGAAGCAGTTCTACTCTGTCCTATCGTGTCATTATGAGTCGGAATCAACTCAACGGCAGTAGGTTTCTTTCATGCACCATTTTTTAATTCTAATCTTTAACTTCAAACAAATAGCCACACCTTAGAGTTTCTGTCTGCTATGATTGCAGTGAGAACAGTAGCCATTGGGGCAGGGACTGAGACTGCTTATCCCAGTGCTCTGGTTTAACTGTAAACTGTGTATTCTGACTGAAAACAAAGCACACTTGAAATATTTTCACAGAGCCTTTTATCCAAAGAGCTTTGAAATGTCACGAAGGTATTTCTTAAATGCTCGCATATGATGCCAAGTGGCAAATCCTACCCTACTCTGGGTTTTCAGAAAGTGACTCTTTTGTGTATGGCTTGTCTGTATCTTACCCAGCTTTCCCTGATGCTTGGCCTTGCTCCTCACCGACTCTCGGAGAGTAAATCTCACAAGGACAAACAAACAATATTCGAACTGCTTAATTTGACTATTGGTTATTAAACCTCAAAAAGAAGTCCAGGGATAGGACGGGGCATGGAAGACGATAAGAAACACATGCAGAAAGAACTCATTAAAACTGACTTATGTTTATTATCTGGAAGCCTGCCCTCTGTCCTTGCTACTCACCACCAGGCATATGCTTCAGCAGCTCGATGATTCTGCCATGGACACTATAAAGAGGAGAATCCCTGTGACTGATTCCCTCAAACTCAGGAGGAACTTCAACTTGGTGACTGACAGCAGAGCAGGGGCTCCCCTGCACACTTTGGTCCCAAATTAGCTTAACTGAGGCTCAAACAGAGACTGTCTCTTGCTTTTGCCATCGGGCCACCTATTGCCAACACACAAGTGGAAATCAGCTGAAACCTGATGATTTCAGTGCCTCACTTGGCACGAGGAGGTGCTTGGTAAATAGCTTACTCTGACTTTTGACCTCATTCCCACTATTCTATGACTAAATCCCACTATTACGCTAAGCGTCCGGGCAACTATTTCTCTTTAGAGAAAACCAAAGAGCCATTTTCATTTACGTTTAGGATGAGATGAACATGCACTATCAAGATTATTAATCACATACAGCATTAAAGGCCAACACCTCCCCGGGACAGGGGCTTGACAATTACCTAGCACATGTTAACAGAAACACTGACAAGACTAATAATTCTGACCAGGAAAGTACCCCGAGGACAATGACGTGAGCTGACTCCGTCCAAGTTAGTGGCGGTTTTTGTCCTTCAGGTAGCTGAAAAGCACCTCTAGACCACCCTCTATCAGCTCAGGCAGGGGCTTGGATAAAGGGTTATGGGAAATATGGAGCCCCTTGTCCATGGGGTTCCAAGCAATCCTTGCCAGTCTCCCCAGAAGGTAGAGTTCCTCTGGCAGGGTCTGGATGTCGTTGTCATTTAAGTTTAGCAGCTCCAGGCTGGTGACTAAGCAGAGCGACCTGGGGAAGGAATGGATGTTGTTACTCTCTGCGATGAAGATCTGCAGGCTTGCCAGGCACTGGATGCTCTCGGCGATGTTTTCCAGTCGATTGGAGCCCACGTGCAAGAAGTCCAGCTGCTTCAAGGAAAACACGCATATGGGGAGGTGAGCGAAGGAGTTGTTGCTGAGGTTCAGCTTCCGCAGGCTCGAGAGGTCCGCAAAGCTGGCAGGCAGCTGGGCAAGGCAGTTGTGGGACAAGCTCAACACTTCCAGGTGTTTGCAGGAGCTCAGCTCCGGCGGCATCTCGGTCAGGCAGTTCATGTTGACAAATAGGACCTTCATGCTCTTGAGGAGGCTCAGTTCTCCAGGCAGCGTCTTCAGACAGTTCCCACTCAAGTTCAGGACCACGATCCGAGTCAGCTTCCCCACTTCAGGAGGGAGAATCCTGAGCTGGTTGTGGGACAGATTGAGCTTCTGGACCTCAGGCAGGCCCCATAGAAAGTCGGGGACATCTGTCATCCCTTTGGTGACCAGGCTGAAGGTGATATGGCGCATGCCGTGCTTCAGCAGGGACCTCGGATCTCTTCCATTGAGAAGGGCATCATCCCACGGGGACAACTTCTGCCTTCTCCCCAGCAGCCATATTCTTTGGGGATCCTTGTCCTTGGAATGACCCCTTGACTGCTTGGCCCCCATTGGTCTTCTCACGCAGCCACTAAAAGCCAGGTGAATTCAGGCTGGATCTAACCTGTACGTGAGAAAGAGCGTGGCAAGGAGGTCCCTGCTTCCAGGAAAGGCTCCGTCAGGCCATGCCGTTGTCCGGGCCGTGGGTCCCAGTGCCCCAGGAGCTGTGCTGAAGTTGATGGACACTGTTTCTCTCCAGGCTGCAGCTGTAACGGTATACTTCTCTTGATCCTGCCCAGCAGAACTCCCTCTACACTAAGCTCTCTCTAAAAGCCACAGGCAGCTGTCACCGTCACTCGGTTTGGGTTTTTTGACCTGGGATATGCAAACAGGCCACGGGGAGGCCACATATAACCCGAGCCGCTCCACTTTTCTTGGATCACACAGTGGTGTGCGGTGATTCACACTCCATTTTTCTAGAGATTAGCAAAAGGAGGCAGAAACCAGGCTGTGGGGCACGCTGCAGAGAGAAGAAGCAACACACGCGTGATGGAGCAGTTTCCAAAGCGCATCAGACCATATCACACATCCCTGCTTCAAACTTGGACGAACTGTGGACTGGGGGTGTGGGGTGGGGGTGAGGGACCGGGAGAACAAAATCCCCCTGGGCCCCGTGTCAGCAGTGACTGCGGATGACTGCTAGTGTTAAGAACCGAAGGGCAACTTCTACTCCACATTACGTCAGAGCACTTCCGGGCTCGTCAGTTTTCCCGAGTGGGCTTCCAAGTTTAGTGAACTTCACTTAACTATGACCAGCCACTCAGTGGTTGCCTCTGTCTGCTCGGCGTGGGTGCCCATTGTTTCCGAGGAGTGGGATGTGGGCTCCTCATCCCCTAGGTGTGGGAAAGAGACCGACAGTTTGGCACAGAGACAAATCCTAACACTGGCACTGAGGAAAAGGAGAAGTAACATCAAGATGTGTGTCCTAGCGGTGGAGAAAAGGCTCTCGCTGCTTAAAAAGAGCAGTTTTGGATGAGCGTGGCTTGGGCAGGCCACCCCAGCAAAATGCTTATTCTGGAGAAAATGGCAACTCCTAGGATCCTGACCGCCCTCAGGCCAGGAAAGCTAGCTTGGGGCAGGACTGGCACAGGCAGAGATTCTGCAAGCCCTTGTGTTTTAAAAAACATTAGTTAGCTATGCTTACTTCTTCCCCTCCATGAACATAGTCTGACTACTTGATTATTGGGGAACAGCAGCTGGAACAAGCTAAGCAACATCTGTCTTTGCTGTGGCGGTTGCTTCTCTTTCCCTAAGAGACTGCTTTGAATAAAACAATTCCAAGTACTTGGCTAGCACTCATTGAACCCTGTGGAAGGCACTACCTGAAATCCTTCCTATGCAGAATGTCTATGAAAATTACTACATCCCCCAGATGACGGCACAGAGCAATAGAGAGGCCCTATTTCTTAGTTCAGAAGCTTGCGTATGGTGGAAGCAAGATCCACACCTTGTTGTCCAACCGAGACTGGAAGCCATTCAGAAAACGCTGAGCTTTGTCCTATGGAAATTGTTCCACCGGTGGCGTGGAGACCACCCCTTCTTTTCAGGTGGCTGGAGGGCCCAGGAGGGGGTCTGCTGGCACACCCGTTCATTGAAAAGTTGGCGGCACAAGGCAGCAGCTGCCACACAGGAGAAAGATGTGACAACATCTCTTTCTGTAAAGATCGCCACCTTGGAAACATGACGGAGCCGTGTTACTCTGTCCTGTGGGGTCACTGTATGCGGAAATTGACCTGACAGCAATAGGTTTGATTTGGGGGGGGTGCGGGGGGGTCGTGGTCGTTAAAGGTTAAAGGGCCCTGGTGGTATAATGGTTAGAACACTTGTACGCTAACCACAACATCAATGTTTCTAACCTAGAAGTTGGTCCATGAGAGAAAAATAGAGCAATCTGCTTCTGTAAAGATTTGAGCTTCAGAAATACTATGCAGATGTTCTACTCGGTCCTAGGGTCAATATAAGTGAAAATTGAATGATTACAGCAGATGCAGGTTGCTTGTTCATTTGTTTGCTCTGTTTTCAGTAGCAAGTAGAATTGCTGAGAAAACGGGCATAAAAAATGCCTACTTAACTATATGTTAGAAGCAGCTACATAATTAGACATGAACCCTGCTTGTTCTACCTCCAACACAACTAGCTAGAAAGAACAAAGAAAAAACATCATTCCAGAAAACTCTGGGTTAATAGATTTAATCCCCTCCAAAAATAGCTCGTTCTTCTCCAGCAGAGGTTATCATATATCAGCTGGATGGACTGTGCGAGTAGCTGACTTGGCATCTTCTAGTTTTATGAAAGAGAAACCTGGTCTGTCCTCTTGTCTAACCATGCTGATTGAGTCAGAACACTGAACCTAAAGGACACTCATTCTCTTTGGGATCAGTTTCCTCAGCGATGAAATGAGCTCTTTGGGTGTGATGTAAGTACCTTTGGGAGTTCTGAAAGTACCTTCTCAACCTCTGATTCAAATGCTCATTACAAATTAGGCTCCCCACAATGAGATGGGAGGCAGTGATCTAACCTGCTTTCTGGGTAAAAATATGCAAAATTCAAGATAGCTTTTCTTTGAAGTCCATATTGGTTTGGGGGGATAAATAGTAACAACGCTGTTAGATTTAGAATGCACTGTATAAGCCACAAAGAGCGCTATTGGTTGCTAACCAGAAAGTTGCCTGGTTGAATCAACCCTCAGGAGAAAGGTCTCTGTGGCCTCACCAGGGAGTGACACTAAAATGCCAATAAAATTTTTCTGTAGTGTTTCAACAGAAATTTCTTATGTTTTATAAAACTATCCTTTGTAGTTAGTAATAACAATGAAATATATTTCCTAAGCCTAGCTTACATGTATCAATATACAGACATGGCCTCACTTCCATGCTACTTTTACTTTTTGAGCCTTTTCATGTGCTCTGGTCAGAGCTGTGATTATTACTCAATTAACAATGATGCTTTGGGTCATGCAGTTTCAGCTTCAAGCACATGCTGTTATATTGCTGTCAGTTCTTTTGTAGTAGGTGATTTTAGTGAATTTTCAGGTACTTTGACTACAGTATTATGATTAGTATTTGTGAACATATATAGACCCATACATTTGAAAATGCAGTAGTAGTTAAAGAAAGAAGAAGAGTTTTAAAAGGTTTCTGCTCAGTTACTAGCAATGTTAGAACTAATAATATAATTTAATGAAGAAAGATTTTACAAAACAGCTTTGTTGTTACTATGCACATAATCTAAGAACTATTACAATTAAGGTATTTACAACATTTACCACACATTATCCTATGGTTAAAGTTGGTTAATAACCATTACTAAGGCTTTTCCTCCCATGTATGTGAAAACTGGACAGTGGGTAAGAATAAGAGAGAAGGGTTGGTACACTTGAATGACAGTGCTGGTGACAATATTGACTGTCTCACAGCCTGTCAGAAGAACAAACAGATCTGTCTTGGAAGGAGTACAGAGAATGCCTCTTAGAATCAAGTGTCACGTGACTTCAAACTTTGGCTATGTTGTCAGGACAAACCATCATGAGAAGAACATCATGCAGGGCAGGGGAGGGTCCATGAAATTAAAGCAGACTCTAAGTGGCATAGTGACTTCAAAAATGGGCTCAAACATAGCAACAATTGTGATGAGGCTGCAAGCAAGAGCAGTGTTTTGTATTGTTGTGCACTGGGTCTCCATCCGTTGGAACTCCCTTGTCATCACCTAACAGCAAGGATTCTTTTTGGTACTAAAGGAGGCCCATGCCTGGGGTGTGGGTGGCAACATGAGTTACCAAGTTTGGTATCATCAACCCAGTAACAGCACTGGGCAGTCTGCCTCTGTGAGATGAAGAAAACTAAAAACCATTGCTACCAAGCAGATTCTGACTCCTAGCAATCCGATAAAATAAAGAAGAACTACCTTGTAGGGCTTTCAAAGCTGTAATCTTTGCCGAGGTGGACTGATACCCCTTTCTCCCATGGAGTTGTTGACTGTTTATCTTTGAGTTCAAAGCCAAGCCCTTTACCATTGCACCCCCAGGGCTCCTCTTCTTGAAAGGTTACAGCATTTGAAAATCCTTATAAGGCAGGTCTTCTCTGTGTGGTAGGGAAGCAAAGCCAAACCAGACGCACTGCTATGGACCCAAAGCTGACGCCTAATGACCCGAGGGTTTGCATGACTTTATCTGTTGATGGGAATAGAAATCCCAGTCTTCCCACCTGAGCCACTGGTGGTTTTGAACTGCAGACCATGTGGATTGCAGTCCCGCATACAACCACGACACCACTAGGGCTCCCGTTTGACAGGGTAGCTTGGAGTAAAAATTAACTGGATGTCAGTGGGGGTCTGTTTTGTTTATAGAAACTAGATCTTTGAATTTTGCCAAAAGGAAATTTTCAGAGCTCTCCGAATGAATTTCAGCTTGCTGAATGTGTTTCAGAATTAAACAATGCTGGACAAGTTTATGAAATACCATGCCATTTTAAGTAAGTTTAATATCTAAGGAAATTATCGAATAATAGAAATTAGTACACTAACAATATTTACTATATTTCTTTATGTTTCAGTTGATTGTTGTGCTAACATATAAAAACCAACCACAGTATGTATTTAATCTTAAATAGAATAAACTGAAATAATGAGAGTGTAAGTATGAAAATATTTGAAGTTACTCCTGAATTTGCACTAATAGGATATCTATTAAAAAACATTATTTTTAATCTTTATCATGGCTGGCCAACTATGTCTACATATTATGTCTGTTGATTTGGGAAGAAAGAAATTCGCATATTTAAAAAAATTATTAAGAAGGCAATTTTAAAAGCAGAACATACAGAGAACTATACAGTGCAGTAACATTGTGCATATGTAATCTAGATATATTTCTTTTGCATATCCACATGAATTTATTGCCTTTTCAAAAAGAAAAATCCATTTTACACCAGATTTTCCCAAAAGCAGAACATGTAGCAGAAAGTTGTGAGGCTAATCAACAATCCTAGGTAAACTAGAGTAAGGGGCAAGAGAAC